ACTTTTGAATGAAGTTTGATGGGATGTCGGCTAGACGACATCGTGTCTGCTGAACGGCGGCCACGGAAGTGACGAGCGGCTAAATTTTCCAGTTGATTCTTGTGTAAGTGGGCGTGGCTTACTAGAGGCTGGACTATTCTGATGACTAATTTTTTTAACTTCGGTGAGAGGAAGCGGGGTTGAATATTTTACATACGAGATAGCGCGTACGAAAGAATGTGGAGAGATTCTGTTCATGCCGGTCCATACGTGACCTTTGGTACCCATCGAGAGGGCAATATATTTAACTTATATTATATTTAGGGTTGTGTGAGCTTGTGTGAAATCGCTGTTTGCACTTTTTGAATGCATGGGTGGAGCGAGATTAGATATTTAAAGGATAAATAATGTGAATTTTTAAATGCTTGATTTTAACACCAATGAATTGAACAAGGGCGGTCTACACAAAATTATGTTTGAATTCAAGATTATAATCTGAAATTTAAATAGCCCTGTATATTTATATCCTTTGATTCATCCTATAGAGCTGATTTTAAAGAATATACTACTATTTATGAGTTGATAAAATTTGAAATAATTTGGAAGACTACTACAATTTTTGTTAAAATGGAAAATTAGGCGAAAGTAAATTTAACTATTTATTTAATTATAAAATTTTTGCGTCCAAACGTCTCTCGTATATCCCTTATATAATATGAAAAATAATTTTATTCAATAAAGCGTTTCCACACTGTTTAATATATTTTTAAAATTTAATTTTCCAGTTCTTCGTCTTAATTTCCTGGACTATATTTTATAAATGATACATTTGAGTACAAAGCATTCCCGTAGACTGTTAATATTATTTCGCAATAATGATTTTATATCATAATTAATGTTCTGTGTAATATGTGATGCTAAAATTCAATAAACAGTATGATTAATTAATAATCAGCCATAGAATATTGGCCGAAAATAAAATGTGATTCCTCAGTGAGATAATATATTAAAAATGTTAATGTTCCTTTGTAAAATTTATGAAAAGCATGTCTGATTAAGGGCTGTTATCTTGAAGTAGGCTTGAACAAAAAACGCAAAATAAAGTCGATTTTATTTCAAGAGTGACAAATACTTCCTCCATTTTATGGGGAATTCAGCAGTGTGACCAGTGTGACTAATAATTGCGTTAATTTTGATTTTAGCGCTCTCTAGCGGAATAAAGGTATGTTACGTATCGTAAAGTGACACTTCATTTGAAATATAATTTTATTAATAATTTAATACAAAACATAATTGAATGAAACATGAAGTTAAACAATTAAAAAACTTTACAGAGCTCCAAAGTTAGGAAATGCAAACATAATTCAAATCAACAAAAATACAAATGTATGCTCCGCATTAAATTACTACTAACATTAGCCTTCACTTTACAATACGTAGCAGATTTTATCCCGCTGGAAGGTGCTAAAATCAAAAGTAATCCAACGAACATTCATATTGCTCAATTTCCCATAAAATTACCGTTTCAATGATGGGTCACACTTTTCCTTTTTAACTCGTATTGATTAGAGTGTCAGAGAGGATGACATTTAAGAATATGATAGGAAGGTGTTGAAATAAAACTGCCCATTTTTTTAAGTACATACTTTTTACCTTATCAAAATAAAAGAGATAATATATAACCATTACCAGAGGCGTGCGACAAGAGCAGACGAAAAGAGAGTTTCACCTCTCTACATTCTACGTTACTGGTGAAATCGTCAATATTTATAATTTTTCAATTCTTTAATATTTTCTTCGTTAATAACACCTCTTGTTTGCTATAAAGGAACATTTTACAAGATAAAATTTGCGTTATTGAGTGGATTTTACGGAGTATTCAACAGTATCCAACCCAACATACGACATCCAGATTTTAATCCCAGTGGGATATCGTGTCGACGTCGCTAAGTTACGTTTTCTTCTAACTGTAAGTCAAATGGTACAATCAATCATATGTAAGGGTAACTTTAGGGGTTCATTTGTAATGGAACAGTATTATTTAATGTTTGAATTATACTTTAAATCAGAGAGACAACCTTCAATATATGATTACATATTCAATTCATATTAATGATCTATACGTTTTATTGACAAATTTACTGTAATCGTGATCATATTTGCATTTATATTTTAATAATTTAAATTATATAACACATTCAAATTAAATCATGCAAATGTATTGTCTAAAATGATGTTAGTCTTTATATATTTCTAAGAATAATCCTACATTATCTTTTTATCCGGTATTTAAATCATTCTGCGAAATAGAGTGATAGAATTTTGACTAGATGGTAGCTGATTTACTAGTTTAAAGCATACGGTTGGGTTAATCCCAGTTAATTCACAAAAACGTAAATTTATTTGACAAAACATCGTTTTTAATATGTAGGCGTTCAGTTCTATTTCGCATACGAATCATTGTTTTTTCTTAAAATAAAATAATTAGTAATTAAAAAACAAACTTTGGTTTTTTGGTCAATCCTGTATATTAGAAATAATTTTTATCCTGAATGTACATGTTGATAGATATTTTGGTAATTCTATAGCTTTTTTAACCCTTAGATATAGACTGTGAAACAATCAAGAACTTTTATCTCCAAATTCAACCCCTTTCGAGTGATAGCTGCAACCCCTAAATTTAAAGCTTTTAAAACCTCACTTGAAAGGTCTTTTCATACTTCATTTGAAAGATCTTTTCATTCTCTTCACAAAATGGCAAATTGCTATGATTTTAAAATTAATTGCAACAATTAACGGTAAAACAATAATTCATATGATTGACGAAATTCTCTACAACAAATTAAATACTGTACCTTAAATGTTCCATCCCCCCTCCCAACATTTACTAAGGAGATGCTTAATGTGGAATTAATGTACGGTATAAAGGACTCGCGTATCGGGGACAACACTAATCATTTGTAATTGGGAGGTGTTTGTGTGAATGCGTCGTGTTTGCTTTCATTTACCTTACTTTACTAGCAGTAGTATTTTATAAACCTTAGAAGCAAATTTCACATACATGAACAAATAATAATAATGTCGTGACAACAAGAAGACGAAGCAACGACTTCTCATAGGGTGGCGGCTTCGCCATTTTTTCTTTTTTCTTATTTTTGCATCTTGACATTTTAGCATTGTAAAAATGAAATTAGTAGGAAATTGAACGCTCTACAAAACAATTCTAATTTATTTTTTCATAGAGTGAGCCGTTCTGAAGATATTCAAACTTAAAGTTGCAAATGTCTGAAATTATGACTTTTATTTAATACTGATGTCTTAAAAATTATTTTCAAGAAAAAATAATTATTTTCGTATAGAAAGAAAATAACACATCTAAATTATTTTTTTTCATTTTATTTTATTTACTATCAAAAAAAGTTATTTGTGTTGAATAAATTTGTTCAATTATTATAGATTAAATAAAACGAATAATTTGTTGTTGTGTTGAATTTTTAATCTTTCTTTATTTTTTAATTTTACCTGAACTATTATTTTTCATTTTTACAATGCTCAAATGTCAAGCTACAAAAATAAGAAAAAATATTTTTTTTCCATGTTATTTAAATGGAAAATGGAAAGTTAGGAACAGGCACTACTAAATATTATAATTAAGAGCTCAAATTTTTAGAGGCTTATTTTTTCACCTTCTTGATAGTTTTTAGCCTGTTTTTTAGTTGAAAAAAAAAATTGTTCAAAAATGACACATCCTAATGCATAGATGACTAGTATGACACGTGATACCGATAGCTTCTGCAGGCATATGGCGCGTGATATCCATGTGATACCATTCATAATTCACAGGTTTAGCACGACGATTGTACGTGGACAATTCCAATATTTTGTTCGTGTATAACGATATCATTATAAACTCGTTTCTCAATTGAGTTGGTCTTATCATATTGTAATTATCTGGACCACCAACATGGTGTGTTTTGGAGCACAAATGTCTAAGTAATTTGTTTGAACTTTCAACTTCTTTCATACTCTCCATACCAAATTAGAGAAGTATAGTCCAACTTGGTTTAAACCAAATGATAATAGAGAAGTTTTATAGTGGTCGTATTAGTAATTGTAGTGAATTGCCTTATTACCTAGCTCCTCATGCAGCTAACAGATTATATTATATTATATTATATTTCTAATATGAGTTGAAAACGAAAAATGATTATTGTGATACCGAGTTCTTCAATTCCTGAATACCGTGCAAGAATATGTCCATACATTATAGTCAAAAGTGATTTGTTCTTTTTTACGTGTTGTTGTAATAGCGTATAATTTTTTTATATTAACTGTAACTTACCGTTATTTCTAAAAAATTAAAAGTAAGCCACGACATCACAGAATAATTATTGAATATTTCTAGTGAAATAACTTATTATCTCAATTAATACATTATACTTCGAATCCAAATACAAAAAAAAAAACTAAGAAATTATTATGAAATATTTTATTGTCTAAAGTCTACTTTTAACAATAATTTTAAAAATTTGGGGTACCATTTGGTACTAAAATACTTTCTAAAGAGACTATTTTAATTCAATATACAAAAATTACAATACATGCGTGCATAAAAAAAATGTACATCAAAGAAACTTAACTAGGTAAATTTTTCTGATACTCAAATTCTACAAGTAAATTTGACTATTGTCAAATGGAATAATATTACAATACTCAAAAATATAACAGATAATCCGTAGAAAATTGTTTAGTTGCTCCTGTAAAATGCAGTAAAAATCTGTTTGTTTAAAACTATCGGTTTGATTAATCATTTCGTTACTTATCATTCCTATAATAGTTCCGGTGTTGTATTTGGTTTTTATTAAATTATTTGCTCGCTATTTAAAATAATTTGAATCATGTATATGAAAATAATGAATTAGCAGACAATGGAGGACATGTTCTTATTGTATGATTACTTTCTCTAACATAGTTATTACAGTACATACCAATGTTTTGGCGAGGCACAAAACGTAAAAGACCTCTTTTTTTTACGGTGAACTCTGACAAATTTTGAAAATCCATGGCGCTCATTTTTTGACAGACAAAATAATTTAGTACAATAGATACATAATAATTATTCTTTACCTAAAACAATGTTTTTCTTAATGTAGTCTATTATGATGATACATATTTCTTCTAACTTTTTTTTACTACAAAAAAATACAAACGTTACAAAACGTTTTAACGATTCTTTGTAGCTTCAACCTTATCATCAATGATATCTATGAATTGGAGATCGTTGTTCAACATTTTCAGAACAAACTCATTTACAGTATCATTCGTGATTTCAATACCATATTCCATGATGGCCACTCTCTTTTTAGGTAAATCTATGGCTACCAAAAGAGGCAACACATCGTCCAAGCCTACTATGTCTCTAAGAACGTCGGAAGTTTCACTGTCCACCGCTATGAGGAACTGAAGACACGGGTCGTCTTCTAGACTGAGAAAAAAGTCTTCTTGGCCAGCATTGAAGTTTATATTGTTCGTTTTGTAGTAGGTTTCTGCTGCTGGGTAGAGAACTGATTCAGCGAATTGAACTTCTGTCTCTTCACCATCTAAAAAATAATTAAAGCGAGAGTTTAATAGCATTTCATTTCATTCCTAATAAATTTGAAAGATTTAATACACGCAAACTAATATAGAAAACAGAAAAAACTGAATAAACCAGCAGATTGCACTAAATACTTTCTGGATTCATTATTTATCTACCCAGCTATAATGTAGTAGGTAGGTAATAAAATTGATGTTTTGCGTTATAATAAAAAAAAATTATGTAGATTTTATGAAATTTATGACTTTCCCTAATACTTTTTAAAAACTAAACCATGATAAAATTCCAGCGGAATACATATTTTACTTTACCTACACTAAAAATTAACAAATATTAATATTACAAATTGTGAATATAAGACAAATGTAAATTAGCCGTTTATTTTGCAAGTAGCCTAAGTCCATTTATACTTAAATTGAGATATCTAAGGATTTGTGTAAATTTTGTTTAATTGCATTAATTAAACGTACTGATTATTCAACTAATGCAATTGTCCAAAAACTGAGGTTAACTTGTTAAATGGTAATTAATTAAAATTACCTTCATCACTGCCTTCGGACATTATCAATAATGAATATCGTAATTTAAGTATAAAACGGACTTAGGCCACTTTCAAAATACACGGCTCAAATATGAATAATATTACTATAATAAAATTAAACAGATATAAATAATAAAAAATCAAAAATTTAAATAAAATACAGCACATTTGCTAGATGAGTTAAAGTTAAGTAGAATGAGATAATTTTATTGACACTTTGGCTAGTTTTTGCAGAAATTACAGAATAAATTTGCAGGTAAGCCAAATAGCAGTATACTGAACGAGTATAATTGTATATCCATTTTATATCCATTTTATATCCATTTTATATCCATTTTATATCCATTTTATATCCATTTTATATCCATTTTATATCCATTTTATATCCATTTTATATCCATTTTATATCCATTTTATATCCATTTTATATCCATTTTATATCCATTTTATATCCATTTTATATCCATTTTATATCCATTTTATATCCATTTTATATCCATTTTATATCCATTTTATATCCATTTTATATCCATTTTATATCCATTTTATATCCATTTTATATCCATTTTATACCCATTTTATATCCATTTTATATCTATTTTATATCCATTTTATATCCATTTTATATCCATTTTATATCCATTTTATATCCATTTTATATCCATTTTATATCCATTTTATATCCATTTTATATCCATTTTATATCCATTTTATATCCATTTTATATCCATTTTATATCCATTTTATATCCATTTTATATCCATTTTATATCCATTTTATATCCATTTTATATCCATTTTATATCCATTTTATATCCATTTTATATCCATTTTATATCCATTTTATATCCATTTTATATCCATTTTATATCCATTTTATATCCATTTTATATCCATATGAATTCCGCCAAATACAGTTCATGTTTAGTAGCCCAGTAACTGAATATTCTTTTGTTTTTAATTAGTGACAATTCTGTTAAAGTAATGTGAATATGTTTTTTACTTTTCTATCTGTATACAGATATAAGGAAAGTATAGGAATCATGATTTTTTTCGACCTCGAGTTTTCGACGGATTTTTACGTTTTGAGGTCCCCTGAATCCGTTTTGACTATTTTCGCGATGATGTCTGTGTGTGTGTGTGTGTGTCTGTGTGTGTGTGTGTGTGTGTGTGTGTGTGTGTGTGTGTCTGTATAACGCATAACTCATGAACCGATACACAGAAAAACACCAAATTTTAAACTTAAGCTTTGTTTCAGCGTCCAATGAGCTGATTAGATTTTGGGCAGAGTCGGAACATCTGGGGGGGTACTTTATAGGTGGTCATTTTTATATTTTATGGAATATATCTGTTATTTACGTTTGGAGAAGAAAATTCTTCAAATAAAAGTTACTTCTAATATAATTATCTATAATTTTTGTTATATGCAAAATTTTCCTAAAATGGTCCGTATTCGAGAAATTTGACAAAATGTAAAAAAAATAATTTTTTATAAAAATTGTTCAAATAAAAGTTGTTTGTAATATAATTCTCTATAATTTTTATTCTATACATAATTTCTCTAAAATGGACCGTATTCGAGATATTTGAGAAAATGTGTAAATTTCGAATTTTGAAGAAAACTCAAAAACGGATATAGAAAAAAACATTAAATTTTAAACTTAAGGTTTATTTCGGCCTGACGTGCAATGATTAGATTTTGGACAAAGTCGGAACATCTGGGGGGGTACTTTATGGGAGACCGTTTTTATATTTTATGGAATATATCTGTTATTTATGTTTGGAGAAGAAAATTGTTCAATTAACAGTTACTTCTAATATTATTTTCTATAATTTTTGTTTTATGTCAAAATTTCCTGAAATGGTCCGTATTCGAGAAATTTGACAAAATGTGCAAAATTCTGATTTTTTTTGTTTTTACGTAATAACTAGATAGGAAAGTCATGTGTTGGACACATCAGATTTTTTTTTAATATAATAATTAAAAATGAGTTATCATTATGAAAAATCGATAGTAATAGCACTAGATATTCATCGATAATATTTGTAAAGAAACGGTAAATTTTGGTAAATTTTAATAAAATTACCTAAAACCAATTAAAATTATGAATGTTAAGGGGAAATAAATTGTAAGCTGTTGGCGTGAAACCTTGAGTGATGACTTCCCGTTCGATCGGGCCTTCTTAACATTTTTTTGACATGTAATAACGATAATAAAGGGTGGTTAATTTAAAATGAATAACAATGTGCCATGTTTTGTTTAGCGATGATAATCAAATTGATCTATATCGACCCCCAGTGGTCGACGATGACCTAAAAGAGGTTCACGTGAGCTAAACAAAGAATTTGGGGTGTGTGAGATGTAAACAGAGGTCCACGACCATCGATCTTATTTAAGCAGGTCGCGACTTTAAATTCGAATTTCCATTAATGTAATAACCAACACACAAAGATATGTTGTTAAGTTTTTACCTGACAATATCTTTCAATCGCACAAACCGCCGAAAGTTTTATAAAAATTATGAATTTGACAATTTTTTTTATTTTTTTTTATTTATAGGTTTTTTATCGCTATATTGCAAAATATCTAAATATTTTTGAAACATTGGAAATCTTTGCAGATTATTAATTTTTCATTTTAACTTTGCAAATTTCTTTTTAAATTTTACGTTTTAAATCGTCAAATTACTCTTCTATGAAACATAAATTTACTAAAATATGCAAAGTGAAAAGTTACATAAGTTTATAAAATAGGCCACAAGTACTAAAATGATGGAATAACGTCATCTTTTTGTTCGACGAAATTTTTTCGATAATTAAAGTATAATCTTTTCTACCATCCAAATAAATAGCTCGTACGTTATTTAAATCATGCTTACTTTTTGCCTGTAAATTACTGTTAGTTCGACTACTTTCCCTTCTTATTTTATACGGATCAACTACTTTGGAAGTATCTGTTTCTGTTACCAATACTTATAGAATAATCGTGGCAGCTGCACTATTAAATACTTCGTTGCAATGCAATGCCGTAGTTTAAGCTTGGTCCTCATTTGTCATGGTAACTTATTTTACGAGGTAGTAGGTTCTTATTGGTTAAAATCATAATCGTCATCGAGTCCAGACCGAACCAAGAAAAAATGATCGAACCTGATTATTATTATTCAGATGAAATACAGCCAGAGCCAAGTTGTCCATCTTATGTAGTAAATATACAAACCGATGATGACGATTATGATTTTGACCATAACAAGTCTAGAATCTCCTTGAATAAGAAATTGCCATAACAAATAAGGATCAAGCTTAAAACTACGGCATTGCATTGCAACGGAATAACTGATTGTGCAGCTGCCGCGAGTATTCTATGAGATAATTGGATTGGTAACAAAAACAAATACTTTGAAAGTAGTCGATCAATATAAAATAGAGGAAACGAGTCGTAATTGGAGTAATTTACAGGAAAAAAGTAAGCAGGATTAAAATAACATACGAGCTATTTATTTGGATGGTAACGATACTTTAATTGTCGAAACATAAAATCAAAGCTGTTACTGTTACAGTTAAAAATCAGTCAAAACATTTTGAATTAGATGAATTTTCAAAAATGCAATATTAGCTAATTAGAGGGTCTACCCAAAACCGAAAGACATGGCAAGGATCTACGAGACAAAAAAGTTTGGGGACCTCTGGTTTAGACCAACTTTCGCAGGACATCACCTTTTTGCAATCTAACTATAGATTCTTTCGTTCGCTGTTGGTGCAGTGTCCACCAGTTTAAATTACACCAGTTATACTACCTTATTTATCCTCGTTTACTTCCTCCTTATTCCTTATACACATGTCGGGTGTAATTTACTCCTGCTAAATAGCTGGTAGAGAAAATATCCACCAGTGGACACCACATCACCGATAGGAAGGTATAGTGGGTTTAACATCGGGCCAAACGAAAGGTTTGTGTCCTTTGGTGTAGTTCATTCCTACACCGGTAGGACGAACGAAAGAACCCAATGTAACTAATATTGTTTCATTATGATAAATAGAATCTATAAAAATATACGTTATTAAATTTATTGTCTGAATAATCCCATATATGTTCAATTGGATTCATATCGTGAAAGTTTACTGCTCATTTCAATATTCAAATACCTATTCGCTTCCTACAAAGCATCTTGCACCATTTTCGAGTAGTAAAATCTGATCAGCACCTAATAACAATTCTGTTTTGTTTTACACCATTTTTCTTCCGCCGTTTTTTCCCAACATTCCTCTATTATACGAAAAAAAAAAAAAAAACTACATCTATTTATTTTGCTACCTCATGCACTGACGAAAGTTTTCTAAGAAGGCACTCTTCAGGAAAGGTTCCGTTTGCCTTAATGATGCAATAAAAAAGTTTATTTTCAGTAATTATGTTGGCAAAAGTGCAACGCGTTCTGTGAAGACTTAAGAGAGCGTTAACCTCGAAATATTAAAAGGGGTTAAGAATGCAGGTATTAAGCTTTTGTATTCATCGAATGTGGGTATGTTTATACAGAGTTATTAAAATTCTTTATGATCACAATCAAGAAAAAACTACTAAGAGTTCAAGCTGGATGATACTTATATTAACAATTTAAAAAAGCCGTTTGAAAATTTTTACTTTATGCCAGTATTTGTAACTAAGAAATAGTTGGGATAGATTAGGACAGTGGCGGCTCGTGAGCTGCGAAGATAGGAGGGCGCCAATTTGTTTTATTTATTTTTTATTATTTCATTAACATATAAAAATAGTGACAGAATATAGATATCAGTACAGATGTTTGAAAAAAACTTTCAGTGTTTTAAAAAGTTTACAATATACCTTTCTAAAACACTGACAGTTTTTTATCTACATCTGTACCGAGATCTATATTCTGCTACAATAAAATAAAATATATTTTTTATAGTAAAACGTCTAACAACAATAATTATTATAAAAAAAAACCAAACAAAAAAATCGACATATTTATATTGTTTTTAATTACTGTTTTTACGAAAGTTTATGACATGATTTCCTGAAATTGAAATCTGATCTACTTTCCTTCATTGAAATACATTTTTCCATGAATTTTTCGTCGAAATTATTTATTTCTAGAACTAAATTTATATTTATTAAAAGTATAGCTAAGGGGTTTAGTCTATCATTTAACATGGTACTTCATAAAAAATCCGTGAAAATTATAAAACGACTTTAAAAATTTAAAACAGGTACCCAACCCATCATCTAAATTCTAAATGTTGGTCGGCCAGGAAAAAACTGCGCCTAAATCTCCACTAAAAGAGTCGACTGCAAGACGCACTCATTAACGCGATAGCACGTGTCCCACTCCGTTTCCATAGTGACGAAGGCCTCTATCTTGCTGCGGCCGACGATAGTCCAGTCAAAGAGAAGGAAGGATTTGGAGGCGACCTAAATTACACTCATAGCCTGTGTCGAGACGATAGGAAAAATTATAAAACAAATAATAATATTTTCAATTAGGATTTTATTCTCTAGTATTTTTGAGGAGGGGCGCGCGGCCATGCACCTCAAAGAGTAACCGCCCCTGGATTACGGTTTAATTTGGATACATTTTACTGGCAAGGTTTTGTGAGGTAGTATCTAAACTCATGAGAAACCGGCAAGATTTACTAGCAATATCTTAAATTCTATCTAGATTACAGTTATTAATTATTAATTCTGCTGCTTATACGTAGATTAGTTTTTAAGAGTAGACTATATCAAAAAGAGGGGAGAGTAGCTAAAAAGATAAGAGTATGTAAATAAGAAAGGAGAGTTTGTAAAAAAGAGGGGACACTATATGAAGAGAGAAAAGAAGAAGTTAAAGAGAAGGAAGAGTATGTAAAAAAGAGTAAGTATACACGTACAACACGTTAGAGTACAATTTTTCCACACGCTTGATGGCTAATAAAAGTTGTACTGATAATGATATCCTCTCATACTGTTTTATTGTCTATAATTCAATCTGGATGACTGTTAAATATTCCTGCTGCTTCTTGATAATTCTTTTAAGGAGAATGGATGTAAAAATGAGGGAAGAGTACGTAAAAACGAAAGAGGAGTATGTAAAAACGAAGGAAAAGTCTGTAAAAAAGTGGGAGAGTATGTAAAAAAGAGTGAAGTCTATAAAAAAATGGGAGAGTTTGTATAAAAGAGGGAAGAGTCTATAAAAAAGGGGATAAAATGAAAAAATGACAAAGTATGCAAAAAAGAAAAGAGAGAATGTAAAAAGGAGGAGAAAACATATAAGAGTATGTAAAGTATATATAAAATAACTAAACGATATTTGGATCAACCGTATAAATAATTGATTGATTTGAGATACTCGAATAGAGCAAATACTTTTTTATATTCATAAAAGTGTATTTTCAAATGATTATCAATTTAAATCCATCAATTAAATACACTAAACACACAAGTTTTAAGAATTTTCAACAAATTTCTCTTCATCAGTAAATATTAAAAAATTTAAGTCTGAACGGCTCCTTTTGATGTTTAATTTTTAATGAGACATAACTGAATACTTTCGATTCCTTTTAACTTGTGTTCGTTATAATGAAATTCGACGTTTGCAGTAATGCAATAAAGCGAGAATTTCCTTTTAAACGGCTTTAGTCGTATAGTAGCAAAAGACTTTATAGTTTGCGAAAAGATGGGCTTTGATGTTTGGATTTTTGTTATAGTCTTATTCGTCTGTACGTATAAAAATCGGCATATGTGTTAATGCAGGTATTAAATAAGTATAATTTTATGAATCCAGTGAACTATTAAAAGAGACGTTTTATATTCTACGTATTTTTTGAATATTTAAAATGTACTTACTGATGAATTCTATATTTTGCATTTTAGACGGAATTTTACATTTTAGGCTGACAGATATCTGACCCTTTGTATTACAATGTTTGTACCTTCAATTCTTTTTTCTTTTTCTATCCAAGTTGGCTATGAAAGTCAAACATGGTTCATTCGGTATAGTAATCATCATCATCTGAATTAGGGGGTGGTTCAAAGCCCACTTGTACTGAAGCTCTAGGCTTATTGTACCCCTCACAGTTTCTATCCTATCAGATTGATTTTCTTGATGAATTCAAGAATATGTCTGATGGGCGCTTTCGCGATTCCTTCAGGTTCCGGATATTGTACCCCGAAGTACCACTCCCATTCCCATTTAAGGTTCCGGCAGTGGCATAGTATGTGAATAGAAGTTTCGTCCTCCTCTTCACATATTCTACATAGGGAGTCATCAGATATCCCTAAGAGATTTAGGTGTCTTCTAAGGCCGCGGTGTCCCGTAAGGAGTCCTATTACGGCCTTGAGTTCGCTTCTGCTAAGGTTAAGCAGTTGATGTCTGCTCGTGGATGGCCCCTCTATGAATCTTTTGGACTGTCTAAGTCCAGGAAGTTCCATCCAGAGCATATGGTGTTCTCTTTTTATTTGTTCCTTTAACACCCATTTAACATGTTGGTATGAGATACCACATGTGGGTTCTGGTCCAATAAGAGTTTTTTCCGCTCCCTTCCTTGCTAGGAGGTCTACTTTCTCGTTTCCAAACACTCCCTCATGTCCTGGCACCCATTCAAGGGTGACCTTGTTATGTTCTGGCAGAGCCTGGAGGGACTGTTGGCAATCAAATATTGATTTAGATTGTACTTCTACCCTTTTTAGTGCTTTAAGGGCTGCCTGACTGACTGTCATGATAACGATTCTCTTATCTCTAAGAGAGTAATTTAACATGACTTTGGCGCAGGCATTTATTGCTGTTACTTCAGCCTGGAAGACTGTTGTCAGTGACCCCAGGTTTAAACTAATTGTCCTCCCTGAGTTCACATGGTAGATCCCAGCTCCTGTGCTGTTTTTCATTTTCGAACCGTCTGTATACCAGATTGATTCGTTTTGTTTTTCCCATTTTCCCGGCTTTTGGCCCTTTCTGGTATTTGAATATCAAAAGGTTTCCTGAAGTCGTGAATAATGGGCGTTCTATCCGATGGTATTCTTAGTACCGGATTTTGTTTTAATTTTTCTAATATCATTGTGTGGTGTCCTTTTCTCGGTATATTAATACTAGCACTGTTTTTCGTGTTCGCAAACGGGCCACCAAACAAATGTAACGTTGCCACGTCGCTTTCCTGTTTTTCTTAGGTATTTAAGATCTTTTAATCAGTGAATCGCATACACCGTCGCACTCAGCAAAATAAAGAAACGCTTAATTATATTTTTACGTGAGGGGCTTAAAGAGAGTAACTTGTAAATCTATTGTCTACCTGCTGTGATTTGACGCATGGTTACATCTCTACCACTAGTGGGATAGCCCTCACTGTTCTACCTCTGTCTATTTAATAGCATCGGTTATTCCATACCGTTATCTGTTGAGCTATAAAAAAGGCCATCGAAGAGGAGAAGAGACAAGCCAGATATAACATAAGTATTTCATGGACTACTTTGTCGCAAAAAGATTTCACAGATGTTCTATGCTTTATTTATAAAAAAATCCATTACATAATACGATGGTTGTGGATGGCAAAACCGATGGCTAACTCATTAAAAAGAAAATTTAGTTTTACACTGTATAATTTATAAACGAGGTAACCTGAATGCTATTGTTCATATTCAACTATCAAAACTCTGATATATAATAGCCTCCTCGCATATAAAATATGTACTTAGTTAAATCAGATCAGATGAAAGCAGCCCACTCGTAATAAATTGTACTCAATGTTCTTCCAGTGCCTTCTATAACATTTTCACCGTCTGTATCGATAAAAGTAGCATGACAATATTTATTGTTGCCACCACTCATGTTTAACTAGTTATTTAGACAAACTGTAGCTTGGTTTATTCTTTGAACACTTTTAATTTTTCCTGTAGCTAAATGTTGTTTATAAAAATATTTGTTTTTATCGTTAAAATACCAAATAATTTTGGATTGTAATAATTGAGTTTCTATATGTTTTTCTAGTTCCGAGTTTTTTTCATACAAGACAATTTGACAAAGCTGCTTTAAATGCAAATATTACTCAGTATATAACCTCAAAAAATATTCTTTAAAATGATATTATTTATAAACAATTATTAATTACTCACCGACAAACAGTACGATAGCAGGAAAATCATACAATCTTGTAAGGTATCGTTCTGTCAAAATATTCACAGGTCTAGGTTTCCATGGAAAGTACTGAAACATAAAGATCATACTTGACAAAGGGTTTCTAAGCAGATTTATGAAAATTTAGAATATAATATGAACAAGTATCTTCCAAATTAATGAGCAATCCTCTTGAGCCTTCTAATCAACATTTTTGCAATTGTTTTTAATGGCTATAATGAGTATCAATATTTTAAAGTCATATGTAGTTCTCTTTTGGTGGTACATATTTTTACCACTAACATTTTGTGGTACGTATGTGTTCCACTCAAGGAAGACCTACAAAAAACAATCAAAAATCAAAAGCTCTAGTCGTTATCTGGTAAATACCACATTTTGATATATATTTGAACTATTGATTATCAGATGGCTCTAAGTGAAATTAGGATAAATATTTACTTCAGACCGTAAACTTTATTGAAATAGATATTAGCGTTGATGTTTCAGTTACATATAAGGAACAGATGAACCATAATGACATTATGCTACTTATATTTACCAGCAACGGCTAAAAGATTTTAAAAGAGATTTAGAGTGTAAATAATGTTTTTATACCTTTAATATATCGAAATATTTTTATTTCTAGACTTAAATTCGTACATCCATCTTAACTTTATTACTGTTTACTGTGACTATAAGCTACAGTCAAAGCCGTATTCTTTGACATTTTACTGACATACAGAAAAATAAACATTGGTAGAGGCTTATTGGTGTTATTATAAATAAATAAAATTGAGAAAGACATTTAACATACAACATTGTTTAATGATTAATAAAGTTTTGTAACCATAAACAATATGAATTGAACCACAAAAAATTATACTAATGTACTGTTGAAAAAATTCAAGCATGTAGGAGAGTTTAGATTTAATTCAGGGCCTGCGTAATTATCTCTGTGTTTGTCGCCCATGGCCTACTTTAGAAACATTATTTATATTTTTTGCACGAAAATGATAATAATTTAAAAATTTTCTAAGATTAGGTTCGTCGAATGCCTCAGAGAAATTCGTGTATTGAAAGTGATGTTAAAAATTGATCAGTATCAATACCAACTTCTTCTAATATTATATTCTCACCTGGGCAGATGGATCCTCCGCCAATTCAGTCCTAGCATCCATAGTAATGATATGTCCGTTACTATCTAGAAGCAACAAAGTTGGTATTCCTCTGATACCGTAAAGCTGAGCTAGCTCAGCTCGTACAGCGGACTGTTGGAACGGTACAGCCACCCATGGCATCGATTCAACGTAGGCACGAAAGGATTCAGCGCTTCTGCAAAAGATGATAAAGAAAAGTATTATTAATATTAATAATATTAATAATATTAATAATATTAATAATATTAATAATATTAATAATATTAATAATATTAATAATATTAATAATATTAATAATATTAATAATATTAATAATATTAATAATATTAATAATATTAATAATATTAATAATATTAATAATATTAATAATATTAATAATATTAATAATATTATTAATATTAATAATATTAATAATATTAATTAATATTATTAATATTATTAATATTATTAATATTATTAATAATATTAATAATATTAATAATATTAATAATATTAATAATATTAATAATATTAATAATATTAATAATTAATAAAATTTGTTTATATTTTTTTATTAGTATTATGTTTATGTTATTTTATGTTATCCTGTAGTATGTAATTGAAACAGTAATGACAAATTAATTTTTGACAAAACAGCCAAAGATAAAAACCAAGAGGCTTCTCGGTCAAGAACGATATCTAAATGGTATTCAAATTTTTCAGTTTTGGGCGTCAAGCGGTTAGGTGTTTTTCGTTTTTATCCTACGCTATTTCTGACATCCCCATACCGACGCCCTTGAATATACATGAATATTCTGCAAATACATTCAACGTTGAATATATTTTAATCATTTCATTGTTTGTTTCTGCTTCACGGCCCGGAAAATTCATTTCCTTCAGATTTCCTTAAAGAAGAAAAAAAAACAATTGCAATACAATCGCAGCCTTTATACTGACTACTTAGGAATTCAATTTACCAAACGGCAATTTTATGGAGTTTTTTCAAAATAACCAGCTGCCTTTTTGTCTTTGTAGGCAAGTTTACTGCTTAATTCGTAAACGATATCTACAGGGAGGTAGTATAATATTCAACCGATAACGCTCTGACCCAGAGAGTTCTTTTTAATTAATTAATTTTGATATAGGAACAAGGATCCTTAATGAGCGTTGTTACCGAGATACATGGTGTTAAAAGTTTGAAATCAAAATTCAAAATCTGCCATAATTCGCACTTTTAATTTTTTTTCAAATTTGGTGACCATTTGCTCTTTGGAAAAAGTAATATTTTGACATAAACTAACTTTATAAACATTTAACCAGTGGCGCGCTATCAAGGTTAGTGGTAATTTTATTCCCCTATTTCTTACGCAATTGGAACAAAAAAATATTTTTCTTTTTTTAATATATTTTTTTAAATTCTCTGTTTATTTTTAGTTAAAAAAGATAAAACCTTTTATGGAGCTTAAATGAAGGTTGTTGTAGAAATTTGCTTTTAAACAAAAGTCTACATGTACAAATTTTTAATAGTTCATGTATTTTACAAGATCTTGGTAGATCAAATTTGAAAAAATATTTAAAGATGATTTTGATTCATGGTAAATTTTGAATTTTGATCTAAAATCATTATTCCTAGAAATTTAGTTGAGCACATGTGCTCTAGAGAGTTACCGTTTAAACGAACGAGATAACTAAAATTTTGGTAAAGGTTTTTAAGTAAAAAATACATTAGTTGCGTTGAGTTCATAGACAAATCATGCATGGTGCAATGTTGAAGAAATTTGTTTGCACAGTTATTTGCATTATTTAAGAGTTCTGCTTCATTTCTAGATTTAAGAACAAAGTTTGTAACATCTGCATATACAATTTTTAGATCAGGAGTTTTACAGTTAAATATTATGTCATTAAAAAATATAATAAATAGAATAGGCCCTAATATTGAGCCCTGAGGCACCCCTATACTTACCATACTAACATCCGATTTAATAGCATTTATATTAACAGCTTGCTCCCTGTTCTTTAAGTAACTTGATAGTCAGTTATTAACTGACCCTTTTACTCCTATCCGATATAATTTCTGAAGTAATAAATTATGATCTATCGACTCAAAAGCGCGACTTAAGTCGAAACATAGAGCAATGTTATACATTTTCTTATTTAAAGCATTGTATACGAAATTGCATAATTCAAATTGACTTTATTCTAAACAATAATAATAGTCATAATAATATTCATATAAGTTTAAGTTCACCGAAAGAACATTAACCCCAGCACTTTGGACCACAATATGGTAGCAGAACAAAGCTTAATTTACTAAAGCGGGATTCTCGGATGCCTCGTGAATATCAAATTTCTCAATAGCCTTAATTAAACTTCATACGCCTATTACGATTCGAATGTGAGTGGAATTTATATCTAAGGGTCGCTATCCACATTTGTAGACCTCATTTCTTGTGAATCCAATTAGGGATGAACGTATAGATTCGTCGAGGTTCATTGGTCAAATTACGACAAATCATATAAAAATTTAATGATGTAGCAAACAATGTGTTTCTTTTCTGCAAATGATTGTTAGATTTTTTGTATGTATCTTGACTTCAACTTTTATACAGGATGAACAATTATATTCGAAAGTAATTCATAGCTTATAACTTAAAAACTATTTGAGACGTCAATGTTGGATTTTCAGTGATACATTTTTTTAACAAATCTAAATTTCACTTTTTCGTATGAAGTACTTTATTTTTAGGTACCTATTTAGAAAGTCTCTACTAATTTTTCTAAAAATGTAGTATGTAACTGCGTTTTGATTTTGTATACAAATTGAAGAGAATTAAAATATATTTTACAGAGTAATAATTAATTTGAAATCATAATTTATCTTGCTAAATGAAAAAATTTGTTCATTAACTGTGAGCCTTGGCTCATCCTCCAACTTTTCTAAATCAGAATTTTTTAAGGTAATGATCATTTAATTATTAAAAAGCACTATATGATTAAATTACAATAATACCAACATCTAAACTAAAATTGCACAATTATCCAAGATTCAGAAATACATAAAATTTATTTTCATAACACATTAACTGCAAAAGAGGCACGTCTAATTTTATAATTATTACAAGCAAAAATATCCAAGCTGTCTTGGATAATATGGTAGATACTTATTAATTGCTTGATATACAATAGGGATGAATTTAAAATGTTTGTCTTTGCAGCTGGGAAATTGAAATAAAATTAAAATAAACTCTTAGTCCTGCGCGTAGTATTTTTAAATGAACGTTATTCACATTTACCAAATCAATGCTGTCTATGTGACCTTAAGAACTTTCCAGAGTAATGTTATTTTCTACGTTTTGCCAAATCAGCAATTTTAATTAATATTAATTGGCAGATGAGGATAGCCTCTTGAGGGATAAATGCCGATTTCCTAATTTGTTTTGAACTTTTCCGATTAAGTCAATATAGATATTCTGTCTGACTCCATATTTAAGTCTACAAAGGGTGTTAGTATATTCGATTAACAACGCTCTATCTCTGAGAGCCCCTGTTATTTGCGACTTCGAGACATGCTGGCGTATCGAAGTTCGAAAGTGAAATAACGAGTGTGACAGCGTAGATAGTTCTTGTGTGTGAAGGAGCATGTCCAACTGATGAGAATTACGTGCAATTTGTTGAAAACTAGTTTTTAATTCTGTTGAATGGAAGAGGGAGAAATGCTGCGATGCAAGAGGTAGGGTATATGTATATTGATTGAAATGTTTTGGATTTATGGCGTACGTAACATTTATCATCTTCACTGAAAATATATTTTGTTTGTACTGTATAAAAGCGAAATGACGTTGCTATTTGCAGGCTAGAAGTTATGCATTTCTTGAATGCGTTGGTTTGATTGCAAGTGGCTTGAAAACAGGGGTGGTTTAGGAAATACTCTGAGTAAATTTAAGAATATTTTATGAAATTTAAACAGACGCCCATTTATTCAATATGTTTATTGAAGTTTAACTCTGGATCAAAATATTCTTTAAGAGAATTATTTGTTTACAATCAAAAATAAAAGCAGTTAGTCGCCTGGTAAATAAATAAAAATAATTTTCTGGATTCAATGAAAATTAATTATTGTGACACAATTTGATGTATCATTTAGACATTTTTGGAGATCTTTGCAGACATTCATTGAACGAATTTTTCTCTAATAATTTTAGATCATCTGCATACATTGCATATCATTGATGTTAATAACAAAATCATTCAAGAATATAATGAATAGAAGAAATACTAAAATGATCCCCGCGGAACTCCCGATAACGACCCTAAACTTACTTAAGTATGTCCTGTAATTAAGAATACAACAGTAGATGTAGGAGTGTTTAAACCTATAAAGGAAAGCTTCTGAAGTCGAAATCTTTAGAGACGTCTGTATTCTATCATATTGTATTTTTTGTATCTATATATTTTTGTTATTCTATTTTTTCGTATTTTTTGTATTGTTTTTATTTTTTTAGTATGTTTTGCCTTTTTTGGATTCTTTGTATTCGTTTTTGTTATGGTTACTTAAGCACATTCATCGGAAGTACCAACAAGATACTGAATTTGTAAAAATGTACAGATATGAAATAACAAAATTACCCTGCATTCTTATGCAAGCGGAAGATGCATTACAAAAGTGAAACAATATGTAAAAAAAAATATATATATATTTAAGAGGACTTCAAAAACACCTACTTAGTGAATTATACTATTGCAAATAAAAAACTTTAACAAAAATGTAATTACAATGAAAATGAAATTTTTAAACCCTACATATATTACAATTTAGAAAAAAGTTTTCTTTTCGTTTCCTTGGAAATAACAGGCACTTGTGTGGAAATCGCGTGGAACAATCTGATCTTCGTGTTTAATAAATTATTCAAAATCATAATCCGATGATATTCTCTTCTGTTGGGGTGCATAAACGTATGTTGAACCGATCCAGCAGTTGTCAAAATATTGAAGTTACACCCTTCTAATACCTACAAACCAGATATTATCTTGTCAAATATTGAGTTGAAACAATTTATATTTATCAAATCTGTTGTCTTTCGAAGATGTTACATCATCATTAACAAACGTATATAAACGATATGGATGGATTATCAGTAGTATAGAGCCATTTTAACTACTCATATAATACAAATAACCATTTTTTCTAAAAAAATG